CCCGGCAGCCCCGGCACAGGCTGGGGGGGGGGGCCTTCCATGGTGCTAAGGGGGAGCAGGATGGACCAGCCCCCCCAGCTGCTACTAGTGAAAGGTACCAGCGGAGACACAGAGGGCTACGCCAGCCCGCTCGCTCCGAGCCATCTGGGGACACTTCAGTCCCCAACCAGTATTAGAGGAGCAGGTTGCACTGGCAAGGCCTGGCAGTCTTAAATCTGTCTTCAAGCTCCAGCCAAAAGGCTGGAGCTCTCGATTTGGGGGTGAATGGGGTGGGACCCTTCCCATCCCGCTGCTCCCCTCCCAGCCAGTGCCCTGTGCTCCCTGTGCCACAGCCCCAAGGTTGGCACAGGGACATGGCGTGGCTTGGCACGGCGGCGGCGGGCGGTGGGCGCTGAGCCCCGGCAGGACGTTCCAGCTCCCCCGTCCCGAGCCCCCCGCTGTGCCACGGCGAGGGGCGCAGGTTCCCGCATGGTGCCCGTGCCCTGCCCCACGTGTCACGCCGCTACTCTTCACCTCTAATTGTTAGCAATAACGCGCGCGTCCCTGGGCAGCACTGCCTGTGCCAGTGTCTCTCCCGGTGTAGAGTTCTAAAATATCCTAGGTTTTAATGAAATTTATATTCCTGAGGTCGTGTCCAGTTGTGCCCTTCTTTGGGGACATGGGGATGGGGGAGAGTGGGAGACCATGTCCCATGGGTGCAGCCCTTTCCCACTCGGATGCCCGACCCTGGCACTGAGCAGGCAACTGAGCAGGCTGGGTGCTGGGGAACACTCCCTTGTTCATACCTTCAAATCCATCTGGAGCTACGGCCAAGGATGGGGGGACAGGGACTGTCCCTGCTCGGTGAGAGCATTGTCCCCAAGGGGAGGAAAGGCAGCAAGAGTCCCACAGCGCAGTAAGGGCACCTCACCCTAGCTGGGGCTGGGCACTTTGTGGGGCAGGAGCCCCCTAGTGCTGCTCCCCAGCTGGAGGGGCTCTGAGAGCAGGCAGGGGGGGCTCCGCTCCCAGCTGGAGGTGGCTGGCAGGGCTGCCCCCCACCACATCCCACTGGATGCTGAAACTGTCCCATCTCATGGCGAACCCCCCAACCTCACCTCTCCGACTCCACAAACCCTGCAAACTTTTGAAACTTTTATTAAATACAAAAACCCCGGTCTCTGCGACCGAACGCTGCATTCAACGTACGCTCAAAAAAAGGGTCAGACATTCAAATGTACAAAAGTCGCCGGTGCCCCCCCAGCCCCGGCGTGGTGCCCCGCTCCTGGCCCCACTGCTCCCGGCTCCCCGCAGGGTGTGGGGGGGTGCCGGGGCTCCCAGTCCCATGGAGGGGCACGGGGCACCCGCCCTGCACGGCCCCGGCCTCTCCTGCTGCAGCCCCCCTGCCCCAGCACTCGAGGGGGGAAGCCAGACAACAGGGAGACCCCAGTGGCCCCCAACCCACCTGTGGGGGCACCCGCTGCTGGAGGGAGCTGTGGGGCAGCCACCCTCCCCCATGCCGCTGCACAAGACCCCCCAAGAGAGGCTGAGGAGGGGTTCAAATGAGCCCTATCTCCCCCAAAGCGGGGAGGGCAGGTGAGGGCAGGCACAGGCAGGGGCTGAACACGCACACAGCATCTGCCTTTGGGGAGGGGGGAACGGAATACGTCCACCACTCCCCAGGCCTGGGGAAACTGAGGCACAGCGAGGGGCATTCGCTAACCGGAGGTCTCTGTTTGGCAGAGCTGAGACAGGGCCCGGCTCTAAGCACCAGACTAAAGCAGAGGAAGACAGCGAGCCACGTCGTCGTGCCCAGCAGCGCGGGCAGTGCCTGGCTGGGGCGGCAACCTGGTCCTGATCCTGCCTGCTCAGGGGGACCTGGGCTGCCCCCACCCCCGGCTGGGGCAGCAGCAGCTCCAGCACTGGCAAAGGGAGCAGCCTGCACCCCGCTTCTCGCAGCACTGGTGGGGATGCCCCCAGGTCTCCCAGAGCAGCAGAATCTCACCCTCCCCGCCCGGGGTGCAGGCAGGAGCTGCCATGGGCAGGGGGCTCCTCGCCAGGGCTGGGGCTGCCCCCTCCCTCTGTGCCAAGAACCGCATGTGGGGCGGCCAGGCTCGTCCGCCAACACACTGAGTATGGGGCGGGGGGTCCTGCAAACACACTCGCGGGGACATGGGGGGACAGAGAAATCCTGGGGACTGAGGGGCAGGCTGGGGGGCAGCCGTCTCCAGAAGGCAGCAGAGTAGGCAGAAAACATCCCTGTCCAGTCCTGGCTCTTGAGCCGGGGCAAAACCCACCATGCCCAGCCAGCCCGGACACAGAGACGGCTCCATCCCGCTTCATCGTCATTTTGGTGTTCTGAATCTTGGTGAATCTGGTGGAAATGGGGGTGGGATGAGGCGGGAGGGGGCCGAGAGGGATTGTTGTGGTGCCAGACCTCTGCGGGGGTGAGCAGAGCAGGGGAGCCGGCAGCCGGAGGCAGCACAGCGATTGCCCAGCATCCCAGCTGCCCCGGACACTGCAGCTCACTCACCTCTGCGGGTTGGGCTCGTTGTGTTTGTCGCGTTCGTGCTTGATCATGCGGTACCTCCCGATGCGGATGTCGGGCCTTGACACCTTCATGCCATTCAGGGAGATGCTGGGGGACAGGAACGGGGGCGGGGGGGGTGGGAATCAGTGTGCGGGCACCAGGGTGGGACATTCCCCAGCCCAGAGACCACTGGGGTTGGCTCCCAGCCCAATTAAACCCATCCCTGCTTAAACAGGGCTGTACCAAGCCAAGCTGACCAAAGCCAGACCATGGCCAGGCCAGTGCCATGACCGAGGGTGCCGCATGCCTCACAGCAGAGCGTGCCCGAACACCGCTCCTACCCAGCGACCTCTGTCTCCGCAGGCCGGCAGCTGCGGTCAGCCCGTGCTGTTTACATTCTCCACATGCCGGTGTCCGGCCCTTCCCTCTGGGCCCCCCCACAACACGTTACGGGCTGCCTGAAGCGCTCCCAGAGCTCCACACGCTGCTTGTTCCCCACCCTGAGCCCACCTTGGATGGAAACCACAACCACACCGCCATGCCCACAGCACCCGCAAAGGGTGTTTTGCTCAGCCAGCCATTACAGACTAGTTGTGCACCACCGGCCGCACGCTTCACAGAATTCACAGAATGGTTAGGGTTGGAAGGGACCTCTGGAGATCATCTAGTCCAACCCCCAGGAAACCCCCAGGAAACCTTCCCGTAGGGAAACCTGCGGGAGATGAGGCGGGAGCCCTCCGGCTCTGGCACCCAACGCGGGGTACATGCAGGGGAATTCGGCTCCGGTTCTGCACACGGCTGTGCTGCGGCCTGCCGGCTGCCAGCAGAAATGCCTGTTTGGCTGCTGCGCAGCCGCCACCGAGACACTTCCCAGGTTTGCGGTCCAGCTGGACGCTTCCAAGTTTAGCATCCTGGCCTTGGCCTGGAGCGGAGCCCGCAGGCACGTCGCCCTGCTGGTGCAGCTCACACCATGGCGGGAGGGGGCTGGGCCCCACCATGCCGGGGGGAGTTCAGCCACAGAAAGGTACGTGGGTGCCCCACGGCCCCCCAACACCCTGGGAGGGGCCAGTTCAATCCATGAGGGTCACCAACACTCAAGCCGGAGGGTAATTAAATCCCTCCCTGCTACGTGACCTGCCCCGTGCACGTCGCCGGGAAAACTGGGAGCCCCAGCGCTGGTGAGGGTGCCGGGTCGGTGCTCGGCAGGGAGACCCCCAACACACCCCAACCAGCTGGCGCTGGCGAGGGGTTGGCACCTACCGGTTAAAGATGTCATCGTCCTCTCCTCCCCAGCCCCAGTACTCATTGGGAAAGCCATTGATCTTCAGGAACTGGGACTTGCTCAGCCCAGAGACGCCGCCGAAGTAGCCGGCGTAGGGCAGCCTGCAGGGTGACAGGAAATCGGTCAGCCCCCAGGGACAGGCAAGGATGGGGTCAGCCCCATGTGGACCTCCAGGGACAAGTACCAGCCCTCCCCTGCGTCACTCTCCCACCCAGGGCTCTGCGGCCTCTTCCATCCAATGTCCACAATTCAAGCCAGCAACTCCACACCTGCCCCAGGTGACCACCAAGATTGGTGGCCTGACCGTCACCCCAGCCCTGCCCAGGGAAACACCCCAGCCCCACAGAGCACCCACCTGAACCCAAACTTGTCCATGCCAACGGCAAAGTGCCGTGGCTGCTCGTAGCAGCGATAGAGGTTGCGGTCGTCCATGGGGATGAGGTCCACATCGCTGAAGATGAAGCAGTCGTACTCCTCGTCATCCTTGAGGGCCTCCAGGAACCCCACATTAAGCAGCTTGGCCCGGTTGAAGGTGTCCTCACCGAACTGCAGGGCAGAGCTCAGCGATGCCCACCTGCCCACCCTGGCCCCGCCAACCCCTTGTCCCTGCCCCCCTCACCTGGTTGATGATGTAGATGCCGTAAGCCACCTTCTGCCGGCGCAGGATGGGGTGTAGGTAGTGCAGCCAGTACTTGAGGTGGTGTTCACGGTGCCGGAAGGGGATGAGGATGGCCACCTTCTGCCGGGGCAGGCAGTCTGGGGGGGTGTACTTGCCACCCTGGCGCACGTCAGGGTTCTCCCGCTGCACCCGCTCCATGCTCATGGGAGAGCTGAACTCAATGAGCAGGCGTCCGACTGCAAGAGGGAGGGCAGGGTGATGCCCGCTGGACGGGACACAGTCCGGGTCATGGTCACCCGCTGCTCCCGGCCAGGCAGGTGAGCAAACAGTGAGGGGGACCTGCAAGGGGGACTGGCACTGACGAGGGCAGAGGATGGCCAAAACCTTTCCCAAACAGGGGCAGAGAGACTGGGCGAGCCACTAACAAAACCTGAATAAACCCGCTGTCCTGGTACTAGTTCCAGGCTTGGGTTTCTCCACTGCTCCACCTCTGAGACCACCAGGAAGCCATGCCCAGGGCCCAGGGGATGGGGATGCCATCCATGGGAGCCCACTCCAGCCCCATGCTCAGAGCCAGAGCCCAAGTCCCCTCCGCGCTCACCCTGCATGTCTCACCTAAGCCGGGAGGCGTCTCCTGGCAAGGCTGCAAGGGCTTCTCGGTGGCAGACTGGTTGGTGCTGGGCTTGGCACTAGGGGATGGGGCCTCAGCGCCGGCCGGCCCGTAGCTGGGGACGGTGCCGTTGGGGCGGGAGGAGTTGGAGAAAGGGTGGGCGCGCGAGGCGTTCCTGGCGTTGAAGCGGCTGAAGAAGTCCAGGTGCTGCGCGTAGACGTCGAAATAGAGGATCATGATGATGACGAAGTGGAGCAGGCAGAGCAGCAGCACGGCCTTGCAAATCCTTTCCAGGGTCACCCCCAAGAGCAGCCTGGTCATCTTCCGGGCACGGGCAGGCGGACATGTGCGCTCAGCGGGGCAGGGGGGCGGCTCCAGCCACGGTCCTGATCCTGCCGAGACACCCCACGCTCAAGACACCACTAGCCTGAGTCCCCAAGCCCAGCCCAAATGACACCAGGGCAGCAGGAGCAGTGCAGGCCTGAGGAGGAGGTGATGGGCTCGCAGGTCGGTACGACACAGAGCACCTCATGGGGATGTTGCATTCAGACCCCTGCTCTGAGGGCACAGCAATGAAGACACAAGAGGTCCCCAGCTCCATACAGCAAGTCTTCTCCCTGCTTTCCAAGGCCAAGACCACTCCAGACCCACTCCCCGTCCCAGTCTCACCCTCAGCAGGAGACGGCAATACCCTCACAGGTGTCACAAAGAGCCTCTGTGGAGGCTGGGCCCTTGGAGAAGGTCATGCTCTCCAAAACGCAGCCAGCCTGGGGTGTCCCAAGGGCATAACGGGTGTCCCCACCAGCCACCCATTTCTGAGGCACCCCATTTCCCTGTTCCCTGTCGTAACCCCCCCCCAGCAGCATTGCACCCCAGCAGTGGCACCAAAGCGGGGCTGGCAGCGAGCGCCATGCCGACAGGGGCCCTCCTCGGGGCACCCAGAGGGGCGAGCAGCTGCGCGGCAGACACCAAGCTGAGCATGATGTCCCAGCACTTGGGGTGGGGGTCCCTGCCACGTCCAGGGGAGTCCAGCTTACAGCCAGCGGCGCAGGTCCTCTCTCCTTCTGCTGCCGGTAGCGAGGCCCCCCGGGACACTGGGAGCTGCCAGGAGCCAGGGTCCCCTTATCTCCCACATGACACCTGGAGCTGGGCCAGAGCCCTGCCGGGAAGGCAGCCGGGAGAGTCACCGGAGAGCCCCGGCTGAGCCAAACCGTCTGGCTCTTCCCAGCCTCGCCACTGCCGGGGCTCAGGCCACAGCATGGCCGTGCACCTCAGTTCCTGCCCTGGTCCCTGTCCCAACCCCTGCTCTCAGGGAAGCTGCTAAGACAGGGTGAGGCAACCACAAGGGACAGGCACAAGGGTCCACAAGGCCCTGGGGACCCTGGGACAGGCCAGTGCCGCTGTAGGGATCCCGAGGGGATCCCGGCAGGCGGGGAGCTGCAGCAGGACCCCCCGGCAGGAGCGCAGCTAGGACCCGAGGGTGCTGGCAACCGTCCCAGGGCCTGGGCCAGCCCACCGGCAGCTGCCAGCCCTGGCCAGTGGGGCCCCCCGGGGAGCCGCAAGGCACCCAGCCGGCAGTGACAGCAACACTGGCTGGGAGCAGGGATCGGAGCTGAGGTGCAACGCAGGACCCCCTGCCCAACCTGGCCCCGGCTGCACCCTCCCAGCCACAGGGCTGACCCCAGCAGGCAGTGGCATGCTGGCAGGAGCCCATCCCAGGTGAGGAGGTGCTGGAAAAGGCTCCGAGCCCTATGCCCCACCTGTGTCCACCCTCTCCATAGGATGTAGAGCGGGGTCCCCGTGGGCAGGGGTCTCCT